GATCAAGTAATTCACTTCTTTTTTTTCATGATTAAGCTTTCTTTTACTTGAATTACTCATTTTCCATGTACAAATTCACACTAACTGAAGTCAACCGACATACCATAATATCTACAATAGAGTTTGCATTGAATGTGGCTACTTGCATTTGCCCGGAATCATAGTGACATAGTTTCTATTTTATGAAATGCATGTGTTTGTCCTTGAACATGTTGTAGCATCATGCCTCATACGCCATTGTATGGTGTAGACATCTTTTTGTAAAGGGAACAAGAATGTCGAAATACAAACATACTTTATCTAACCTACAAAGTATGGTTTGCAAAATGAATGTAATAGGTGAGTGTCTGAGTGATTACTTGAAGACCAAGTCTTCAATTTTGTTTAGCTTCAATGAAGGGTGTTTGCTAATCTTCAAAACTAGTAGAAATGCTAGTTGGTCTTCTCTTTAGCTAGATACCTTCATTGAGCTACTTCTGCGTTCCACCAATTTCTTAGGTTTAGCGTGAGCAGTGTTTGTCAATCTCCTCAGCTAGTAGAGTTTCTATCTGCTTTAAGCTAAGTGTTCTCGCTAAATTGCTTCAGCATTCAACCGACTTCTATTTAGCTTTGTCTTTGAAATGCTGAAGGTGTGTGTGTGCATATATATAGGGGACGTTTCATTTACAAACCATGCAATTCTAACAAACTGTTCGTTCCAAACGGATTTACAAGAGTTTCAAAGGTAACAGTTTCTAGGGGGAGAGGTTGAATACAAACACACAAATTTTCACTTTTTAAATTCCTTTATTAATAAAAGAAGATCAATACATAATCTACAGATTATTGCGGAGATATATAAGGTAAAAACCTAATCTAAACAATCTAGGAAACACATAGGAAAGCACAAAGAGGATTACGAACAAGAAAGAAGAGTAAGAAAAAGAAGAGTAAGAAAAAGAAGAAGAAGGCGTTACTTGGAATAGGAGTCTTCTCAACTATTTATACCCATTGTATTTAATGCAAGTCAAAGGGTACAAGCCATGTGGCAAACTTCTAGCGGAGAGCTTATCCTTTGTCTTTAGACATACAGACTTTTAGCCGCATATGAACAGTTGACTTTCACAAAGTTGGTAAACACGTTTGGAGTCAATAAAGTAACTCTGTACATTTACCTTTCTGTGTGAGGTATGAGGTTGTCATTTTGTGCATATAGAATAAGACAAAAACTAATCTTGTAGAGCAAGATTTATTTGATCACTAACACTGATTTATCTCTAAAGGCTCTTCATTGTTCTCCAAGTCTTGGTCAGATTTCATACTTTGATTTAGACATTCTTTTATCACTGAATCCACTTCAGATCACGAATTGTCGTGTTCAGCTACTTCTTTGACATTGTTGAAGGTTCCTTTGGTGTGAGTTTTCTTTTTGGAGAATACTTGTTCTTTAAAACGCTTACGATACATGTTCAACGATCGCTGAACAAACTCAGAGATAATCACTAAAACTGATCATAAATAGAACAAATATACTTCACTAAGTATGTAGGGTCATCATCAAATCACTGAGAGAGTTTGGATCAACATAAACTTTACAAATTAATCTTAATCATCCATCTAGTCTAATCAATCTTAACTGTCCACCGGATTTCGTCCCTGTATGTCCGTGTGTGTGTGTGTATATATCAATCATAATTAATAAATCATGGTAATTGTACATAAATATCTCAATTGTTTCTTGATATAATGGTTTATAAGAATTACATGTTTCGTATTTGAAACCACCCATATATATAATATATCAGTAAGTTGGTTTTTTGGGAAGATACAAGTGCGTTGAACATTGATCGAATAATGTTAACGAGCTTTAGGGGCCATTTACCTAAATGCTTACCCGGTAAGCGCTTACTAGTAGAAGTCAACATTATAATTTATTTAGATGCGTAAGATTTTAGTACATTAAAGCATATCGAATGCAACAATTTACTCGGTAAGCGCTTATCTGGGTAAGAGTCGTCATCCTCACTTACCGGGTAAGACTCTCCATCCTTCTCATCGTTCTTACCCAGTAAGATTCTTTGCCCTTCTCATGTTCATCCGATTAGGAAATTTATACGTTAAACACTTACCAATAAAGTGTTTAATAAACGACCCCGTAGTATGAACGGTTTTAAAACAATAGATAATCGAAATGTTCAATGTTCATTAGCGATGGTGTCATTATCAAATTTATAATAATGACACCCAACAATTTACCCTAAACAAATACCATAAATAACAACATATTCTTAATATATATTTTTAACATGTTTAGAGTTTCTTATAAATCTATTACTAAAAACACCGTCTTTTTTAAATTGATTATTTTTGGTATTTTTAACTAAAGAAATAAAATAAATTTTACTGAAAAAGTTTAAAACTTTCAAACAAGTGGTATCAAACATTGGTTGTATAAAGTTCGACACATCAAGTTAAAATGAGATTTAATAATCGAGATTGACTCGAACACAGTATTACCAAACGTGAGCTTGAGTAGTCAGTTAAATGCTCGATTAATTTATCAGTATCCTTATACATTAGTGATGACTAAAAGTATATTCATGCAATGCAGCGAGATACATCTTGATTCTAATATTTCGTTTTATTTTATTGTCTCAATCGATATAATACGGTTTTATGTGGTTTTGAGAATGCAATAATTTCTTTTTATTTTTGAATGAAATATATTTGAAGATATCATAAAGAATTTAAAAAAAGTATATCGATATTAGTATTATATTAACTATTTAACAATTCTCGTTTTTTGTGTAATTTTCTAATTCAATTTTTTATTATAATTTAATTTAGGCTTAACAATGAAGTAATTTATTTTTTGGTTTAATAATATAATTTTTATAAAGATGATAATTAGATATTCTGTTAGAATTCAATTATGATTTTAATTATATTTTAGATTTTTTATATTTAAAATTAGATATTTATCCGTATTTGATAAATTATATTTACAGTTAGTTAAAAAAATTAAAAAAATGAAGCTTTAATAAAGAGTTGTTTGTTTATTTCTTAATAGTTCCATTAAGATGCAACCGCTGAATTGTTAAGAGGTGAATCTTATTTGATAAAAAAAAAATCTGCCTCTTAATGGTTCTAAAATCAACTGAACGATTTTGCATCATGTGTCTCCCTTAACCATTTAGCGTTTTAATTTCATTATAAACAATTACCAAACAATTATATTTCATTTTTCACTACATCATGATAACATCTTAATCATTCTGATCACTTATTCATCTTGTACCAATCCATTCAGTAACTACCAAATAGCCCCTAAGTTATATTTAAGCAAAATTATTTGTAATATTGAATTTTGAGTAATATGCATCAATAACCAGTACTTCATACATAAAAAATAGTTTTTTAAGAATTTTTATCAAATATTTTATAATATAGTATAAATGGATTGGATTACTGTGAGAAGTAGAGTTAAGGTGAAAAACGTATGAAATGACCTTCATCCTTAGATGCACATTAGGATGAAATGCGTTGAGATGAGGTGCACCAGATAAATCCCCGTAACAATTCATAGATGTGTTTATGATTAAAGTTGTTCAAGGGTTCAAATCCCTTTTTACGCTTCTCATCTTAACTCTTCTTCTCACACAATCATTCGCCTAGTATATATATAGGGTTGGGTTCACGTGAGATCAAAAGTTTTTCATGAGACCCGTGAGACCAATTTATGTTTATTGATCAACTTTATAAGCTAATGATCTAGTGGTCTAAAGTGGTACGGTGACAATTTTGTGATTATTGAGAAGTCTCGTGACAATTTTGTGATTATGAATATTCAGATTGTAGATCTAATCCAAGAGTTGAGAATTGGTCTTACGAGTCTCACGAAAAACTCTTGGTCTCACATGATCCCAAGTATATATATATATATATATATATATATATATATATATATATATATAGACTTGNTGTTTTCGTGAGACCCGTGAGACCAACATTTTACACTTGAAACTTCACAGCAAAATGCTGTGAAGGTGACTTTTTAAAACCTTCACAGTGTTTTTGCTGTGAAGGTTCGACTTTTTTTAAACCTTCACAGTGTTTTTGCTGTGAAGGTTCGACTTTTTTTAAACCTTCACAGTGTTTTTGCTGTGAAGGTTACGTGTAAAAATGTGTTTGCCGGAACTATTCCAGTGAGTCCCCCTATGGTGAACAAAAATATGGACTCACGGGTCTCACGAAAACAGGCTGGTCTCACGTGAACCCAACCCTATATAATATATATATATATATATATATATATGTATATATATATATATATGTATACATTGTGGTAATAAAAGGATGTAAATGTTAGTAGGCTGAAAGATGAGGGGTCTAAATGAAATTAAACAACCCCTGTTTGGAAATGGTAAACCCAACTGAAAGAAGACGGTGGTGAATGACCAGAAAAATCATACTATCGAAGACTTAAGTGAGACACACAAGTTGGTGGCGAACGTGTAGACCAACAGCAACTACCATTCTCTGCTTTTTTTAATCCTGTTCTTCAACAAGTAAAGACTAATTTACATTTTTGGACCTTATTATTTATTGAATTTTTTTATTTTTGTCCTTATAATTTTAAAATTACAATTTTCATCTTTATAATTTTAAAATTAAAATTCGTTACCTGTCTAGTTCTTATGATTTAAACCCTATTGTTTTTTTGGTTTTTACGGTTTATAATTCATTTCTATTTTATTACTTCATACTTAAAAACAGTGTTCTCGACTCAAGATGAAACGAAAATGGAAATGAATTGCCAATAATAGGGATGAAAAACAAATTTTTAAAACCACAGGGATGAAATTAGAAACTTTTGATTAACCTCAGGGACTAAAAACGTAATTTAGTCAAAAGTAAATAGAAAATTTAGGGGATAAAAGGAAATAAAAGAGAATCATATGGGCGAAGTTAAACCCTTTTTCTCAGCCAACAAGGAAATCATTTGCAGGTAAATTTCGCAACTGGGTTTCTGAGAATCTTTGATTTGTTTATTAAGTTTCGCTTTTGTATTTTAATGGATGGTTGTTGTTGAGTTACGAAACTTGACGTAAATTATAGTGGGGGAGGACTTATCTGCTTTTAAGATAGTGGTCAAACCCTAACATCTATTTCTCTTCATTCAAAACTAAACACGAATTCATGATCAAATCTGATCTGGGGGTTTTCTTGATTTAAGGCTATTGTTGCTATGCTCTGATTTATTGTTCATCTTCTTCAAAGTTTGATTCAGGTATTTTGATCTTTATGTCTTGTTCTTGTTCATACTGGAATTGGAAATATGACCAAATTTTCAACTTAGTTTTTGTGCCTAAATCCAATTTCAGAGCTTGAGTTTCTTGAATTGTTGTCTTAAATTCAAGATCCTGTTCATGTTAGTTTTTCTTTTTACAACTAAATCCAATTTCTAATTCTTGAGTTTGTTGAATTGTTGTCTTGGAATCCATGGCCCATTTTTAGCATCTGTTCATGTTAGTTTGTGAACTAAAATCAGTCTCTAAATCCAATTGTAAAGCTTGAGTTTCTTGAATTCAAGATCCATTTCAGGAGCTGTTTACCAAACACTTATTCGATAAATGTTTACCAGTAAAATTTTACACCATCACTTACTTACCGGATAAGATTTTATTCAACAAAAATGGCATCTTATGTAACAATTTACCCGGTAAGCGCTAACCATGGTAAGAGTCGTCGACCTTACTTACCGGGTAAGACTCTCGGTCTTTGCCTTGCTCTTACTGGGTAAGATTATTGGTTTTTGATATACTCATTCGCTAAGGTAATATGACTTGGTAAGCAGGATAAGTGTTTGATAAACGGACCTTAGTCTTGGTTATTATATTACATGCATATGACTTGGCCTGTTTTCATCTTCTTTTCCATATCTTTTGATTAATCTTTCTTCATAAGGTTGGTTTTGGTTTCTTACCAGTTAAGAAGTTCAGCAAATTTTACTGGCAGGAAAGTTTTCACGAAAACAACCGTTCTACTTTTTAAAAGTATATAGGTCAGTACTGCTTACATCTTATCCTTCAAAATGCACCTCTGGTGGAATATACTGTGCTCGTTTGGTTTGGCTTTATTAGAGCATCGGAGACAACCTCTTTAGATGCAAAGAAGAGGTTGTTTATGTTACTCTAATAAAACATAACCAAACCGAATGGACTCGGTAGAGGTTTTTTTTGGGGGGGGGGGGGGTAAGTGATTACGCAGTATGGGTCACCACCCTCACTGACCGGGTAAGATTCTTGGTTAGTAAAATGGTATCGTAAGATTGTTGATAAACATCATGTTTTCGGCCGGGTAAGCGACTCTTACCCAGTAAGATGCAGTTATTGTGTAGTTAACGGGTATGAGGCAGTAAGTTTTCATTAAATATGCTCAATTTGCTTTTATGTTAACCTGTTGTTTCTTGCTATCTCTTACAACAGCTCATAACGAAACCGACGGTCGTTAACAAACCCGGATTCCGGAGCAAGTGAACCATGATTCGATCCGTATCACCGTTTGAGAACCGTAAGCTCTATTTGTTGAATGGCACCAAAGAAAGCACGAGCATGCCAACGTCCCTATTCAACGAACATCAAATTGTTTATTCTTCAACACAATCTTACAGTAATGAGAGCTATGATCCGGCTAAGTACTTTCTTGTTTCCCCGACCGAAGAACACAATTCCGGAAACTGTTTGACATCCTCTTACGAGCTTTTACCTGCCCAAGAAGACACATTTAACGCCTTTCAATCGAGTCTTGAACCCGAGTACTTGTTAAGTGACAATTTCGAAGGATTAAGCTATGATGAAGATAAGATGAGATTAAAGCTTCAAGAACTTGAAAAGGTGCTTCTTGATGATGACAACGGTAATGAAAATGACGATTCTGACCCTAGTCGGAGCATGGAAATCGAAGGGGACTGGGGTTATTCCGTCAATGATAACCTTCATGAATCGCCAAAAGAATCGTCTTCATATGATTCTTATGTTAGTAGTATCAGTAGTAGCAAAGAAGTCTCTTTGAATACCCAAAGGGCTCATGCAACTACTCCTAAAGAGTTGCTTTTTGAGTGTGCCATTGCAGTCTCTGAAGGAAATATTGAGGAGGCATCGAACATGATAAATGAGCTCCGGCAAACAGTTTCGATTGACGGAGAACCGTCACAGAGGATTTCAGCTTATATGGTCGAAGCTCTTGCCGCCCGTGTGGCCACCTCTGGCAACGGTCTGTACAAAGCTCTAAAATGCAAAGAACCGCCTTCAACGGACCGGCTTTCTGCTATGCAAGTGCTCTTCGAGGTCTGCCCATGTTTTCGGTTCGGATTCATGGCGGCAAACGGCGCCATTCTGGAGGCATTTGTAGGTGAAAAAAGGGTGCACATAATAGATTTTGATATTAATCAAGGGAGCCAATATATAACCCTGTTGCAAACACTGGCTAAGCAAAATCCAAAGCCCCGTTTACGGTTAACTGGTGTCGATGATCCAGAGTCGGTTCAACGTCCCATTGGTGGGCTGAACCACATAGGGCTCAGGCTCAAGGAACTGGCAAAATCGCATCATTTAGACTTTGAATTCAACGCCGTGGCGGCAAATACGGCGGTGATCCAACCGGAAACACTCAATTGTCGCCAGGGGGAGGCAGTGATCGTTAACTTTGCATTTCAGCTCCACCACATGCCAGATGAGAGCGTTTCCACCGTGAATCAAAGAGATCAACTCCTCCGAATGGTGAAGAGCCTGAACCCGAAACTAGTAACCGTTGTCGAACAAGATATGAACACAAATACAGCTCCATTCTTGCATCGGTTCCACGAAGCGTACAGTTATTACTCCGCGATGTTTGATTCTCTCGATGCTACGCTTCCTCGAGAGAGCCAAGAACGAGTGAACGTTGAGAAACAGTGTTTGGCTCGGGATATCGTTAACATAATCGCTTGTGAAGGGGAAGAAAGGATCGAACGGTATGAAGTTTCGGGCAAGTGGAAGGCGAGAATGATGATGGCCGGGTTTCGGCCGTGCCCGATTACTCGAAACGTCGATGATACGATTCGGAAGCTGATAAAAGAGTATAGCGAGCGGTATACGATGAAGGTGGAGACGAATGCGATCCATTTCGGGTGGGAAGATAAAGTGTTGATCGTTGCTTCAGCTTGGAGGTAAGATCAGGTTCGTTTAGTGGTTCGAACTCGTGATCTCAGGGTTTGTTAAAATGGGTTCGGTTCGGTTCGATATCTTAGGTTCCAAAGAAAAACTGTGTTAATTATGTGGTTTGAACTCAGTGATTCGATGGCCTATAGAAAGTTGTTCATTTTGTTTCCTGTATGACATTTAACTCTTCATCTTAGGTCTAATGAAACCGTTAATTATGTATTGATCTCGTGGAATTGTCCTAGTGTAGTGGCATGTGCGGATGATTAGAGACTCGGTTCCGATCCGGGTTTTTTTTGACAATTTATACATACCTCGAGTAATTTTATGCGACTTTAACGTTAATGATCAGGTAAACCTTCGGTCGCCCTAAAGGATCGAACCAGTCATATGTGAGAAGTTGACCCCAAGTTTTCACCTATTCGAATTGTGACGTAATGATTAAACCTCAAGGGATGTAGTGAAAAATCCCATTTATCTCGGTGTTTTAATCTATGCACTGTTAAAGCCCTTGTGACTACATGAAGGTTCACCTGTGATGACTTCGGATCATTTGTGGTCGTTCGAATGATTAGTTGGTGCACGTAATTTGACACGAGAACCCACGGTTTAAAAAAAGAACTACCCAAAGGTTTGTATAAAGAAACTTTCTATTAAAGAGTTCCTCAACGACCATGTAAAGTGTACGAGCCATTAGTAGTCAAAAGAATTTATTAAAAGAAATTGTTTTTCGAACAATCAATAAATATCTATGATGGAGATTCAAACGAGAACAACTTCATTTTACGAGAACGTAAGAACATCCTTATCACGCGTGATAATATGCGTGAGGGGACCTGTGATGTGCGCACGTCTTAGCTCATGTCAAAGGTTATCTACGTTTATGATTTAGCATCACATGTGATGGTCTTGATGGATTATAATATCATATCAACAACACTCTTATCACATGTAATAATACATGTGAGGGGGCTTAGTGGTGTAAGGACGACTTGGCTCGCAACCAAGATTATATCGAAAATCGCCCGCATCTCTGATTTAGTATCACGTGTATCATATGTAATGAAATAATAGTATCACATGTGATTGTCTATAATAAAGAAATGTTCTCACGTTCTTGTAAAATAAAGATGTTCTCGTTTGAACCCTTCCAAATATCTAGTACTAAACCACTTTATTTTTATGTTAAAAAGAAAAAAAAAATGACATGAATAATGCCGCGGTTGACCGTGGTGTCGTGGACGCGGAGAGGTCAACCATGAGATGGGCAATGGCTATGACGTGTTTTATGCACTGTTTTGTTAAAGTATGAATGGGTTGATTTTGAGAAGCTTCTTGATGGCACAGTTTTGAAAAAAGTTTGAAAAGAATGTGGCATATAAAATACAAAACAAAAATTAAAGGGTCTTTGGACAGATGGTATCGTGGTCCTTGACCTTTTAAGAGGTTAGGGATTCAAACCTCATCAAAAGTGAGAAGAATATGTGAGTTTATTTGTTACATTTACCGTATATAATATATTATATATTCCATGAATCGTAATAAACACGTATGTTAATTATACAAAGAAACTTTTTGATGCATTTTTATGAAGTGAGTAACAAGTAGCTAGCAAAGGTGATACACATGATTTTTACCAGATTCACATTGTTTGAACACAAGGTATATCATATTAATGTCCAAATTATCGTTGCATTGATGAAGTAATAGTGTTTTTTTCAGACTTTGATAATATGTGTTTTCATGTAAAGTAGAGTGTTTATAAACTGTGTTTCACAAACCAATCTACAATCTGATCCCCTGTAAAATATGCTCTACAGCCCTAAGAAATCACCGAGTAAAATAGTTGATTTCAAATTTCTCAATTTCTAGTTCTAATTTGAAGATAATGAGCAGAAGCACAAACTAAGATTTAAATATGTCAAAAACAGTGAACAATGAATAAGAACAATATCACCAGGAGATTAGACTATCATTGTCATATGTATTGATTAAAGAATGGATTAGACTTGAACGGATTGATCTTCACATCACTCACAACAATTATCTCTCAATTGTATGTGTAAAAATTGTATAGAAAAGCTTACATTACAAAAGCTATGGACTACTATTTATAGGCCTCAAAGGAGTAAGTCAACACACTGTCCAATAAGAAGTGTCCACGTGTAAAGTGCACTAACAAACTTCAGGGAGGAACGGTTGAGCTTTGGAAGATTCATACTTGAATGGTTGAAGCATATGTTGAGTCTAGAGGTAGGGATCCAGAGGTAGGCACTATCTTTAGCTTGTCGGGGAATCATCAGGTTAGGCACCTCTAGATGGTCTTCATAGGCTTGGGGTTAACAGTCTCCCCCTAAGTATTGAAGGCAAAACTAACGCATTAATCAAAAGGAAAACAAGAGGATAACAATGTCCTATGGTAATGGTTTTACGAATAAGAAAAATTACAAGGATAAAATGAAACTATTTACATCTCAGCATCTGGTGCATTAGTGTAGATCTTCTAGAACCCATATATGAGATCTTCGTAGTTCAGAATAGTAGACACGAGGTTGATGAATTCTTGTCCTGGTTTTGTAGGCACCTTTGCAGAACCAAGTCTCTACTACACTTCAGTCCTCAGCCACTTGATCGTTTTAATGGAGTACTTGAATCCTTTAGATACTTGGAAGAACTTCTTTTGATTCCTGTATATGAGTCTGATATCTGGATCTGTGATGAATGAAACTGAGTAAATTTTGTCAATGTTATCCAATTGCCATTTGGCAGGGTTACTAACAACCTATTGAAACCTAATTCCAGTGCAATCTATAAATTGATCTCTACTCCAAAACAAATTAATTTACTCATTTTTCTTTTATCTTTGCACAAGCTACATTAAATTTCTTTCCTCTATCAGCATGGGCTTTGGCATAAGCTAGAAGTGTGAGCAAATCCTAGGGATTTAGGTTGATAAAGTCATTGAAAGTGCAGAAACATTTCTAAGCTCTTTGCACATTATACTCTAAGTATGTGACGGCTCTGTGTGAGAATGTTCTGAATATTATCTCATGAACCCGTTTATGCCATCATATGACTAAACCTTTTCCTTGGGCTGCACCATTCTTGCAAATCTTTGCCTTACTCCTTCCATTACCTCTGGGTGTACGTTTGGTGGTGCAAGCTCAAGCTCTTTATACCCTTATGAGTATAGATAACCATGGATATCTTCCATGAGTACATGTTCTTGAGGAGGCTAGGATGAAGTAGCTCTGGAGGTATCCAATGGTTGCCTTTAAAGAGACTCAAGTTGACTTACATTTTTTTGAACTCTATCTTCTGAAGGCTGAAGAGGAAGACAATATGATGGAGAAGGCTCTTGGATATCTTCAGTTGTGACTTTAACATTAGATGATGAAGGTTGATGTTGATTTCGAGAAACTAGTTCTGATTGTTGAAGTGGTATGATTGTTTCAAGGATTTCTGCATCACAAACAATAGGTCCCGCTATTAAACCCAAAATCAAGTTGTATTAACAAAAGTTTCAAGAAATCATGAATGGAAAAATCATCTTCGTATTGATATTGATAAAAATAATTACAAGATACGGTTACACAATGAGAAAACTTAGTTTTCTAAACAAACTAACACAAATGTATTTATATCCCAAGGGTATTTACAAGATAATCCCCTATACCTTGATTACAATAACAACTTGAACTCCAACATTGTCCCCCTTTGTAATCAGGTTGCAATAATTACCCGAACCTTCTTCTTTTCTTTCTAAGTTCAAAATAAGTTTCAAATCTTTTGATAATGTTCTTGAACTGCAGAAGATCTTCAATGTGATCTAAATCTTTGACAATTAACTCTTTTCTTTCTCATTCATCTTTAGTTTCTCTCTTTTATCCACATCAAGCTTGTTATTCAGTTGCATCTTGATTAGTTTCAAAGTATCATCAGAAAAACTTGCTATCTCTCTGAACCTCAAGAAGCTTCTCTCACCTTTACCATTCATATACACCATACCAAACTCAAGTTCTTCCAAGATCATGTCTAAAGGAAAGTTCTCAACATCCGACAAACTTTGATTTGGCTTTAGCAAGTTCACTTTTCTCTAACTGCTCTCTACTCCAATTTGTAAGTCGGAAATGTAAGAATAGTTCACTTATCTTTTTAGAAATCTGATCACAACAGTTAGAGCAAGGGTAACATCTTCTGGCCTGATTGTTCTTTGACGTAGTTCAAAATACATGAATTCCAAATCTTCCAAGTTTAACAAATGAAAGTCATCTTCAGAAAATCTCCATATTCTTCCATCTTGTCTTGTAACATGGAAGATCATATACCATACATGAACTAACCTCTTTATGGAAACTTGTATAACATACCCCACCTTGTGTTTTGACTTTACAACACTTCTATTTTGAACTTGGGATCTCATCATGCAAATGTACCCAATCTGTCGATCCTTGTTGAATTTAGTGATACCCAATACTTTCACCATGTCTAACTTCTTGATGCTTCTAACAAAAAATTTATCTCAGAGTCTTCTAGAAAAGCAACCCTGATTCTAGAATGCTCCCATCTTTCAGTTTGTGCTGATTGTGTCGGTGCACCGTTATTTCTGAAATGTTGCTTCATTTGATGTGCAAATGGTTTAGGTTGATGTTGCTCTTTATCAGGTGACTATGGAATTTCTTCATTTAACTGATTGATCATGTCAAAGTCTCCCTCTTCTTCAAACTCATTTTCAGAAAAAGTAAACAAGATCTCACTCTTGACTTGTAACTTGAGAAATTCCGACTCTTCTGCATCTGATTCTATATCAATGATGTCAATCAGTAATTTGTCTACTAGTATCTCTTCTCTTGTCCTTTTATCTACAACCTCAGGCTTTTCAACCGTGGATTCTATAATCAAATTGGCCACAAATTCAACATCATCAGACCGTGTTCCTCCTTCAGATCTCTGAATCTCTTTAGTATTTTCATTCACAGTATTTTCATTCACAACATTTTCATTCTCCCCCTCATGATGATCTTGATCGTCAGGATCATCATGTCTTCATTTTAAATTATCCTCCTAAGTTCTTCAAGTATCCTCAAAGGTTTGAATCATTTCATATAAAATTGAAAGTGTCTTTTGAAGAGAATTTGAAGTTGACCTAATAAGATCTGTAATGCTCAAGAACCTTCTTATGACCTCATCTTTAAACAACAAGAATTTTGTTCTGATCAAGATATCTAA